CAGTTAAAGGAAGGTTACGAAAAGAGAAAGGTCATAACAGAGGAAACTGGGGCTTGCCACAGTATCTGGGGAACGCCCATAACTCCAGCAACTGCTGCTGTGTTTCAAAGATTTCCTATTCATTGGAAAAGGTAAGACACTGCCCATTTCAAAAGATGTTTTCATGAGCAATTCTAATGCTGATGAGGACTATGACCAGCACATACTGCAAGAGGGAGCCCATAATGGCTCTCCAGTCTAAAGGCAGGGAAAAGACTGGCTTGTCTGTTCTGCACAGAATAAGATGTGATTTAGTTCACTCTAAGGGTCAAATACATTTTAATGTGACACATTAATACGAGTCTCATGGCTAAAGCCCATGTAGTGTGCTGACATCGGGCCTTACCCAAAGTCCACTGATGTCAATGGGAGTCTGTGTAACTTTGTCTCTTCAGCTCCCACTGAAGCCAGAGGCAAAGACTGAGCGACAGACAGGCAGATATAATAAAAGGTTAAATGCTTTTAAAAACAGAATTTAAGTTGATCTTTGGAGCTAGGCCACATGATCACATATGAGAACCCCAGTATTCAATCAAATACAATCAGATAATGACAGTAATCAATAGTGAAGGTAAGCATTGTTATTAGTTTTCATAATCATATCATATAAGTATCCCACTGATCACATGCCAGTATTCACTTGGCCATAGTCAATCACATGTCAGTATCTGCACCTCAGAGAGCCCCGGGGGGGAAGAGGGGGAGAGAGAGAAAAGCTTGAGGAATTACTAAGAAAACAGCTCAACAAAGTTAACCCTAATAATGTGGGCTGTTTGTGCGCCACTGTGATCCTGTAATTATATAAGGGGGTTGACTGTGTTTTCATTACCCCAACATTTGTAACAAATATACGAAGAGTGCAGTGATGGGTAAAAATTGCTTACAATCCTCAGCAGTATCAACAAATTACAAATATGACTCTAAACTATGAGTTGGCTAAGGGAGCGTTGGGTGTTTGTTCTTCCTTGGCGAGGTCGGCAGTCCTGAAGAACACAGCACAATGGCTGATGGCAGCTCAACACGAGGACATAGCACTGTGTCAGTGGATGTGAGGAACTGATCTGAAAGCAGCAGACAGAGAGATTCCACTGTCCTGGGAGCGTCCTTTGAATGTTGTCTCTATGAACCTGGGGTCAGAATAGAGACACGTAGATTTTTGCTTCCCCTGTAGTAGAAAAGGGGTGCTGTGCCTCCAGATCAAACACTAAATTCATCTTGACCTAACCTCTGAATCAAATGTAACTTAACAGCAGTTTCATAAACTTTATATTGATTTTTCCAAGAAGCAAGCTTCTGCCGAGAACAGTGGGAACTGAACAATGACTCTGAGACACTCGGGCTCCTATCTTGCTGACCTACTGGACTTTGGGTCCAAATACTTCTGGGCCACATATTGGCACTAAGTTCATATGTGAATGTACAAGAATGTATGTGGAGCTCATGAGAATGGTAATCTCACAAAGTATTTTTGGTTTGCAAAACCAGTTCAAATAAATTCACAAAACTTTCTTTGCCTCTGTAAATTAAATCGCTGTTGTGTTATTTAAAAACAAAAAAAACAAAAAAAAACAAAAAAAAACAAACTTTTTTTCTAGCAAACAGGAAATGGGGCTATGTACCTCTACAAAAACTAAACTGGCATAAGTGGGTCCCTGGGGCTAGTAGAATTCCTCTCTCCTTTTTTCAGTTCTCATTTTCTCGCTCTCCATTTTTCTCATTGGATTTCTCTCTCTGCTCCTCTTTTCACAGCCTCTCCCAAATGGAAGGCAAAGCCAGTAAGGTGTGAGTCCAGCTTTCAGACCTACAGCATCCGAGCTGGTGTGACATTAGGCAAAATGAGTTAGCCTATTTCTAAATAATAAACAATAATAATAATCCCAGTTGCAGTAAAATACAAATTACAGGCAAATGGAATGTAGTGAACAAGCTGTCTGTTGCAGAAAAGTACAGTCTGTGTTTGCTCTCTTCATAGCTTATTAGGCCTCTCGATTAGTTGCAGTTGCTTAGAAAGCACTCAGGGTGGACTGTCACCTCTGGGCATTGAGAGGTTGGGGAACAGGAGCTGAGTGAGTGCACCTAAGGCATAAGCAGACAAATCTGCCATATGGAAAAGCTCCACACGGATCTCTCTTTTGCAGATCTAGATTAAATAAACACACTAGCTCCGTGCCTTTGCGCTGCAACCCTGCTTTTCCCACACTAAGTCCATGGCTTTTCTGAGGCATTAAGACACAGAAGAAAGCAATAACTGGAGTAATACCCTTTAATATTGCTTTAAAGCAAAAGCGGTTTCCCCAGCTCTACATACAGAAGGGTCGGGAAGCTATAGAATCTGACATTCAAATCTTGGAGAAATGATTCTAGTGAGCTTCCTAATTTACAGCGTATTGGGTTGGAAATGCTACCTTAAACATAACAACAATACATATAGGAAATAAAATGTTTTCTTGCTCTGGGAAAAAACAACCAAAACGTGCCTACCAGCAAGTAGGAGCAATTCAAAATAGAAGCCATTCATTTCTTAGCAAGGATTAATTAGCTGTCTGGGGTTATTAAATGTTTTCATTGGCCTGATCTGTGATGAAACCGGGAGCTATAAAAGTGAGCCAGAGGTAATCACAGCAACAAATAATATTTTAAACAAAAAACCCTGCTTGTAATGCAAATTCTGACAGTGTGAATAAATTACAGACTGGTCTGGTCTGATTAACAGCACATCAGTTGGAGTTTTTAGGCCTACAGTTTAGATCCGGTGTTTTTCTTTTAAATCTCCAATGACAAGCTGAGGTAAATGTGGTCTCGTTCCATGTTTAAACAGAAAGCCTGCTTCACTCTAACTCAGGGGTTCTCAAACTGGGGATCGGGACCTCTCAGAGGGTCACGAGGTAATTACATGGGGGGTTGTGAGCTGTCAACCTCCACCACAAACCCCGCTTGCCTCCAGCATTTATAATGGCGTTAAATATATAAAAAAAAAGTGCTTAATTTATTAAGGGTGTCACACTCAGAGGCTTGCTATATGAAAGGGGTCGCCAGTAAAAAAGTTTGAGACCCACTGGTCTAACTGGCCCTGTGGGGAGCAGAGGATATAAGGAGCTTATCCCCTTCCTCTTCTCACACTCCGGGTCATGGACCAGTCACAGTTTGGCGAGGTTGCAGAACCCTGTTCCATGCTTATGCTGCCTGCAGGGCTAGCCTTCACATAAATGACCAGGCAGAGTGAAGTAAGGACGGGGCCCCTGGCGGTCTGACCCCACTGCTTCAGCCAGCAGACATGGCCAGGCACAGGGGAGAAGTCTTGTACTCATGTAAAAAACAACTGAACTGCAGCTTCAGAGTGCACTCCACAGGAGTCCTGGGAAGAATCCTGACTGAATTAGCTGAGAGGCCCCCGCAGCACCTAAACTCCCCCTGCAGGGCTATGCCTAGAAGACACAATCTAGCTCTTAGTCTGCACATTAAAGATCAGAGACCGCCCTGACAATACGGCATCCCCCATGAAGAAGGCCAAATTTACCAACACAAAGATGGACCAGGTGAAATTTGCTACTAAATGCTACAGCTTCCGAACACCAGTCAGTGTTACAGCCCTCACAGCATCACTCCCACCTTGTCTTATGGGGGCTCCCCCATAGCACTCACTGATGCAAGGCTCCTGGACTTTAGGGTGTCAGCTCCAGAAAACCACATCAGACAACAGCTTGGTACAGCACTCAGAAAGGCGAGTGGCATTCCAGTGACTATGAAGAAAACTGGTTTAATGGATTTTGTACGTGCATCTTCCTTGTAAATGGAAAATGTAGCCTTAGGTGTTTACATTTGATTTGGGAGGCCGGTTTTAATCTTCTTTCACTGGGAGGGAAAACTCAATTACAGAATGTACTTACATTCCAACAACCCAAGTCAAACACTAAGGAAAAAAAAAGAAATGCTTTAACTCCTTCATTGCCAGGCAGGAATACAAGCGTGTGCCAGACATGTTCAGCAGCACAAGAGGTGCAGAGTTTGGACACATGAGGCAGGGGCATACTGGCACCCAGTATGACCAAAGGGGAGAGAATTCTTTCCACTCAGACCTACAGCTCTCTCCAGTAGAGTTGTGTTATTCAGCCTGCACATAAGCTGCAGGATTTATCCCTTAATGATCCATGTGACACCATGTCCTATCATCTGACACTAAGCTGAATTCATTAAAGGCATATCAGAGATGTCTCTGTGTTCGCCTTCACATTTAAAGGAAGCAACAGCATTTCCTATTTATCTTCATTTGTTCATTCAGAATAACTCTCCTGAGAATCTGCAGGTTTCTAGATTTACCACCATGAATACCAGATGGTGAAAAAGGATTTCTGTGAGGTGTCAGGGCAAGTGCGGGGCTATATTCTGGGCTGATGGGGCTCTGCACTAGTCAGCTCATTACTGCAGCAGGCTCCTAGGGAACCTCTGCGATGAGAGAGGGCTGGGCTGCTCTGAACCCAGAACCCACAGGAGGGGGGAAGAAAAGGGAGCCTTCATTCTGCATTTCACCCTGAAGGAAGCCACTGCCAGAGCACCGGTCAAGGTTCTACAGCCTGCTCCAGCTCCATGGCCCTTACTCTGTCTTGCCGTCCCAGAGCTCTATTGGCCCTTCTTGTCATGCCTGCAAAAGCAGCCAACCTGGCATCGCAAGCATTCCTGGCTCAAGTATCAACAAAAGCATCCTCAATGTTATTGTAATAACAAACACATCTTTACCAAGACATGGCCCACCACCACCTTGGCTACTTTCCTTATTGTGTTGTACCTCTTCCCTCTCTTCCAGCCTCTCTCTGTCTTTAAACCATGAGCTCCTGGAGGCAGGGACCCCACTGAAGACATGAGGGCATTATGCATGCCACCATAAATAAACCACAGTGACAATTTTCTACCCAAGTTCACATACAGAAAGATTCCTTGACCCTTAGGCATCTCAATTAACTCACCCGTAGCATTGTAATCATGGAGGGGTCTCGGAGGCGGCCATCTTCATCTTTAAGATTATAGCCCTCTGGTCTTTTATCTCGTTCACTAACTTTCCATAGCTTCACAGTTTTATCTGGAAGAGCAAGAGAGAGAAGAAGATTCAGTTATGCCTGAGTAAATGGACATCCTAAAAGGAATGCCTGATAGAAATGCCAGTGTCACAAAAATTGGTTTAAATGTAAAAAACGTTCCTGTTTCCTGTTTCTTGTCTTATCTGAATGAGATCTAGGGACATGGAAAGAATCAGCTCTAAAGAAAGAAACACCGTTGATCATCAACACTTTTTTCCAGGAATATTTGGCCTTCCTATTGCTGCAAGGCAACTACCGATATATTTATTACAAACTTAAGAAGATTGTTTGATTCAAACAAGCATTAATAGACAAATTATTTGTGAAGTGATTTCCCAGGGCTCAGCTGCAGAGATTATGACCATAGGTCACATGATTCAGCATACAGAGTTTAGGATTTATCTAGTACACGCCACAGTGTGTCACTAGAAACTCTAACATGGGCATTGGCTACAAGAGGAGAGAGCTTTTTACATTGTTCTGAGAAGGCAGAAGTCTGCTGAAAAGTTTAATTTAGAACTCCTCACCTACAGACCAAATCCATATAGAATCTTTCTTCTCCCATTGCTGCATATTTGTATACCTACCACCAAAGTTAATCAAGAGAACACCCTATTATATGATTTTTCCTCCTACAATTTACCAGGTTGCATGGCAGTTATCCAGGGGAAACTGACTACTTTCAAGTATGATTTCCAAATTAACTTGGTCCAAAAATGCTTAAACAAATCACTGAAAACATGTTAAATGCTGATGATACACCACATCTCCATATTGTGTCCCTACTGCCTATTTTATTACTCCTTCTATTCAATCTTATTACTGCAAACTGCCATGATACATGGCAATTCCCAGATTTTAAGGTCAGAAGGGACAATTACAATCATCTACTCTGACCTCTTGCACAACATTTCATTCAATTCCTGCATCAAGCCCAGTTGTCCTCTTACAAATAAAGAGAGAATAATATTCATGAGTGCTCTATCCATCATGTCTTTGAATATTTCCAGCAGCCAGTGGAATCATTAACCATAAGTAGTGCTTGTGCAGCTATACACCAGTGTTTAGAGAACAGTGGTCATTTGTGCGTGAACTTTAAAATACCCTGCACACAACGGATGTCAAATTCCATGAGTTTTGTTTTTGTCCATGGGTGGAGACTAGCTCAGGAAAAGAAATCTAGGATGTAATACAGTGAAATATACAGTGATTTAAAGTTCACACTGTGAACACAGTAAAAAGAAGTAAAATCATGTCTGTAATTTACTCAAAAGTCAATTTCAACTCCCCCTTCCACCACCTTGAACAGAAACTGGCATTTTATTATTGACTGCACATCCAATTTGAATTCCCATACTGCCATCTTTCCTTGGCTTTTTCAACTACTGACATCCTGTGCCATGAAGGCTTTTAGGTGAAAGAGCCCCAGAAACATGTGGTCTTTATTCTGAATAATGGTGTTTTCTTTTCCCTTGACTGGCAGAGATTCTATCAGCAGTTTATCATCACTTCCACCAGGTTTAAAACACAATCTTATCATTCGTCTTAATTTTCCCCTTTACACAGCAATTTCATTAGACTACCATTAATTTTGTTTTTATTAACCCATTTAACTTCAGGGGGTTTCCCCTCTATAATGTTGGTTTAACAACAAGAACAAAAAGATACAGAATAACATGGGAGTTATTTTTTAAAGAATCATTTTGATATCTTGCAAGCCTCTGAAACACCATCCCAAATGGAAAGATAATATCCCTGTTAATCAAAAAACTATTTAAAAACTCAATTAACAGAACATTATGCTCTATAATTAATCTTCATTGCGTTTCAATGATTCTCCCCCCCAATGAGTTTAATAAGTCTTTGAATTTTATTACAATGATCAATAGAGTAAATTCCATAATACAAAGTAAGTTGGCTATGGGAGATAATTAGACCCCTCCTTTTCCCCTGAAGTAATTAAGTCACATCCATCTTAAGGTCCCATTCATCCCAAGTAATATCATTGGATCCTCCTGATATTTATCTGAGCAGAACAGGAAGCTGCTCAGCTGAACACAGCTGCAAATTGAAAAAAAATCAGCTGTAGTTTTTCTTAAAAAAAGATTCCAGGATCCAAAAACATAATGAGCGCAATGAATAGTCAGAGGGAAGAAAACTCCCTGTTTAGTGGCAAACGAACAAGTGTGAACTGACTGCAGAACCCTGTGTGAGGAAAATACACATGAAACATGCATCGACAGCAAATTCTAGCCGGGCTCCTGTTATCCCTATTTAAACTCATGTTTTAGAATAGAATCTGTCTTGATTTTTTAAAATTGGATTTTGCCAGAAAGAAGAAGAAATAATAACAAAAGACATTTTCTGACTATTGTCTGTATTGCCACAAGTCGCATATACCAATTCCCTGTGCTTGTGCTCCCTAACGGTCAAACTCCCAAGGTGAGCAAACCAAGAGAAAAAGGGACCAGAGACAGAAAAATGACTTCAAGGCTTTTTAAGCTCTTCTGCCCTGTAGGCTGAAGAATTTTCTCACCAAGGTTGGGCTTCAAATGCTGATCTTAGCCATGCTAGTTAAAATCCAGAGTCACATCACTGGTCAGACATTATCGTACGTGAGACCAGAGTGCAGCCCATTGAATGTATCAAATTCCTAACATGAATATTCCTGGCCCTCCTAATTCTTGCTTCTCCTCCTCCTTTTACTTTATGTGTGTGGATTATGTGGACACCACGGGCCTGATCTTGAGAGGCATTGAGACCCAGCAACTCCAGCTGAAATCAGGGGGATATGGTACAAGTACAGACCCCAATAACTGTTTTAAATAACTCCCCTTCTCTATTGTTCTCTCCAGGATCCCAGAAGAATGGTATTTCAATAGGACTTCTCCTCTGTGTATGTACTACTCAGCATAAGTAAAGGCTGCAAAAATCAGTCCTCCTTGTTTTTTTTTTTTAACTACTACAAAAAATGTGAAGATGGTTTTCCTGAGGGCAAGGTTTCCCTAAACCTGAAGTTATGGATGAAAGAGTCTGTTCCAAAGGTAATGGGAGTTACATGCCTGAACGGAAGGCAGAAAGGAGTTCAAATAGGATAGGCCCCTGGACCAAAACCACAGATACAAAGGGAAGACTGAGGTGCACTAGGGCATGCCCCATTAAATGTTAGTTCAGTGTTTGATCATTTACAAAAATTGACAAGAGTATAACTAAGATTAGAACTAAGAGGTGAACCTTGGTTACTTACCTCAGCCTTCTCTGTTCATCTCCCCACATGTTTTTCTCTCTCCTGGGAGAGATTTTTTGGGATGAGGGGTAGCATGGGCCTGCTCCTGTGAGGAGCTGAGCACTCTTAATTCTGCATTAATTTCAAAGGGTGTCAAAGATGCTCTGCTCTTCCCAGGATCAAGACCTAAATAAACGTAAGACCTTAGTGGTCTAGTGATCGAAGAAGAGGGCTGGAAGCCAGGAAAACTGGGTTCTATTTCCATCTCGGCCATTGCTTCACTGTGTGACTTCAGGCAAGTCAAACTCTCCATGCCTCAGTTCCCCCCGCTCTAAAATGGGGAAAATACTTACCTGCCCTGCAGGGGGATTGTGAAGATTTATTTTTTCATGCTGACAAAGCACCATGGAATCCATGGATGAAAGGCAAAGCATTATATATTATTATTGTCACATACCATTGGTGGAGAGAAGGAAGTAGGCTGCATTTTGCTGCGGGAGCCATCGTATTTTATTGATCTTCTCCTCTATCTCTAAACTCTTCAGGTAATCGAACTCGGGTTCATGGCTCTGGAACGTGCTGTAAACATTGTATTCTCCCCTACGATGGGGCTGATTTTTACTCTGCAGGAGTGAGAAAAAAAATGGTAAAGGGAATTTTGAGAGAGAGAAAGAGAGAGAGCGCAAATTTTCTATTGATTCTTTTGTTCTCTGCGGATTGTTAAGAGATGGGGAATGTGTGATTACGGTGACACATTACAGTTTAGATATCAAAGCCGACACAAGAGATCTTTCCGGCACGATGTATTCTCCTCTTGTGTCAGTTTCTCTGCATGCTGATGATATGAGCAGGAAATGGTGCCTTTGTTTTGCTTTGTTTCTAGAATGAATGAAATCCTCCCTATCATTTCTCTCCAAGGCAAATTGGTGAGGAGAGATAATGGCTCAGATACAGGGCCAAGTCCCGTTTGACTCACTCACGCGAGCAACCCCATAGAAGCCAGTGGGGCTCTGTACTGGCATAAGGTGAGCAGGATTTGCCCCAAAGATCTATAAATATCCAGCAGAAACAAAATAACCAAGGAAAGGAAACAATCTGTGCAAGAATGAATGTTGCATAAAATGGCAAAGGGCTCAGTCCTGCAAGGTGCTGGGTAAGCCTGGCAGGTGCTGTGTACCTTCAAGTCCCATGGACATCCATGAGGTGCCCAGGTGCTCAGCACCTTGGAGCCCTGAGTGAGGCCGAGGTAGCTAAATGCTCCCAGACGCTCTCAGATACTACAGTGATGAGCACTATATAAGAACCCGAATAGAACAGAAATGCACACACTTTATTGTATGGAAAAAAGAACAGGAGTACTCGTGGCACCTTAGAGACTAACAAATTTATTAGTCTCTAAGGTGCCACAAGTACTCCTGTTCTTTTTGCGGATACAGACTAACACGGCTGCTACTCTGAAACCTGTCATTTATTGTATGGATTGACTTTCTGCGTTCAAATGACGTACCCAGGCCCTTTAACATCCCTCCAGAAGTGGCGCATCTCTGTAAAGCAGGAATTCAATGGAATTTACCCTGCAGCACATAAGGAAGTTTAAAGTTCAAGAAATGGAGTAGAATAATAAAAAGAGAATAGGAAATAAAATACTGTTGGGAATGATGATAATGGTGTGTGTGTATATATAATCTAAACTAAACAGCCCCTCCCAGTGTATACTGTATACACAGAAACAGTTTTGAGAGTAAGACTTTAGAATAGGCTTTAAAATGTCTTTGGACTATAAAGTTTATCATGGCCAGACCTCCGAGATCCCACTCCACCTTAACAAAACACATTGACAAAAGGGGGCTTTGCTACCATCCAGATCAGACTGTGAAGTATGCACAAGATGTGCCAGACCAATTAGCATCAGACAGCTTTGGAAACGGAGGGAAAAATATTCCAGATTGTAAGGGCCTGTGACAGTTTTCATTTGCCAAAACCATTCTGTGCTTCTTGGACCCACAGCATGTGCAGAGATCTTTAATTGTGTGCTCAATGCCTTCTGCAAATATGGGTCCTGCAGAAATGAACCACAAATGATACATAGCTTCCAAGAAGCTCTTAAGGAAGGTTTTTCTGAGGTAAGGTGTATGTCCAGGGTCACCTTGATGATTCTTATCCATCTATGCTATAGTAGATTTTTTTTTAATTTGAAATGTTCTGTTCTCTGAGAATTTTTGATGCTCCTGGAAGTGCCAGACTCACACCAGCAAGGCCGAGAGCCCACTACAGTACAGCCAGATACTGTGCAAGCTTCCCCCCACAGCTCTTGGCACTTACCCCAAATCTTGTTCTATAACGAAGGGACTCTTGTGAGCAGTGATGGCCAATTGAGCCAAACTCACTGCTCGCGTGGGCTGCCCCACAGCACTATTCTCTGAGCTATTCTGCACCGCTACTAGCTTGCCCTGCCTGCACCCACCCATTGTGAGAAGTGAGAAGCCCAGAGCAGGAGCAAATAATGCTTCAAGAGCATTCATTTCTGGCAGTTATTCTAGTGAGAATATTGCCAGACAGACAGACGGGATCACACCACAAAAAGCAGCTGATCCTCTTCCCTGCCCAACCTGACATCACTCCCTTCTCTGAGCCACACAGCTTCAACCCAGCAGAGTTGACAGAGGTCTCTCAGAAAGAGGGCAGTGTCACAAAGTTTGTGCTTGGCCCACAAAGACTTTTCTGCCCCCTTTGACTCTTCCCCATCTCACATTGAAGGGGAATACAAGGCCCTACGCATGTTATTGGTGGTGTGAGCAGGGAACAACAAGGGAAATGGCAATTATGGCTTAAAATTGTAGGGGCTCTTACACCAACTGTTAGGCTGTGCTGTGATCTCACTGACACCAGTGTAAATCAGGTGCAATTCCATTGACGTCTGGGTGTTTTATCAGTGTAAAAAGGGTGAAACTGAGATCAGAAGGCAGCTAGTTAGGTTTACAGAATTCTAACATGCTAATGCAAATTGATACAAATCAAAGCAAGGCTGTGAACATGAGAAGGTTCAATGAATGTGCCAAATTTGGATGAAAGGAGCAAAGTTCAAAGAACATTATTTGGTTTGGCAAATGACACAATTAGGACCATTGGAGTTTCTAACGCAGCAGCTTGATCCAATTTGCATTAGGTTCCCAACAAGTGCAATAAAAGTAAAATGATGCAGAAAATGCAACATTTTGAAGGTGCTTTCTGAGAGGAATATGGTCCCATTTTGGTTAATGACCTATTTGCAGTTTTTAGTTTGCTAGAAGAGAACTGGGGGGAAGAGTGACACATGAGGATTAGGAAGCAGCAGGAAGCTTCTTTTAAAAGGATAAAATAGGCATTTTGCATTCACTAGCACTTACCTCCTGCTCACGTTGAAATATTACAACCCGACCCCCCTTGTCCCCTGTCGCTAGTAATTCTCCTGTGTGGTTGAATTCTACTGTAGAGATAATGTCAGCTGAAAAAAAGAAGACAAAGGCAATTTAAGTAACTGTATACTGGTTTTTCATGGGCATCTATAAGACACCATTCTCTGTGCAGTTAAGGAAAAATGTATTGTCAGTGCTTTGTCTCCCCAGAGAAGTTTCCAGAGTCCTTATGTTTCTTCTTGTACATAAATATGCTCATGGAATTTTGTAACACAGTTTACTAGGAATGAGCACGAGCTAAAACCTGATATAAACCCATGGAGTTCTGGGACACTAAGAATTGGATTCATGTCTGGAAGTAAATTTTGTGGCTGTTTTATGTCTCCATGGTGGTGTTATCCCAAACCAATACCATACGCAAACTCTGGGAGACATTTGGGTCTAGATTTATATCCAGATTTTGGAATTATCAGCCATTTCTACTATTTGTGCTCAATAAAAAGCCCCCAAAACATCCTGTGCACGTTTAAGTAAATGTGTCATCATTCAGATCCATATTTTCCTTTCTATGCTCCCTCCACTTCCCTCTGACTCTAGGGGAGCTCTGCTAGTTTCCATCTCTGCAGAGTCAGAGGATGGGGCAGATGGGGGACCTTCCTGGGCACCACTGCATTCTCACCCCATTCAAAGCCACAGGGCAAAATAGCCTTAGATGTGTGCTGTTTGCCCTGCCCATTGCAGAACCCCCGTTTTGTACTTCAGATTAAGTAAAGGAAACACTCCATCCACACTACTGTATTGCCATCTAGTCTCCCCAAAGTGGTGCAGTCCAACACAATCATCAGAAGAAAAGTTGTGTGTGAACAGGGACATGTGGTCAAAATTACAGTGAGGCGAATTGTCCTAATGTGTGAGAAACAAGGAAACAGACAGGAACCTGTAACTTATATAGGGGGTCACAATCTGGGAAAGCCATGCTTTAAAGGCTTTACTCAGTGGTGTTTACCCCTAAGGCAAAGCAGGCAGGAGAACTGCCAATGATTGGATTAGGACTATTTTTAGAAGAATGTCAGAGGTTAATTCTACTGTGGTTATTCCCCTACTGGTCTTCATGAATTGTCTTTGAGTGCAGCATTCAGCGAAGGCAAAACAGTGCAGGGGGGAGAAGGAATACGGCCTCAAACCCAGCAGTTGGCTAAAGGACATCTTTTAAAATGAAAGGCACTTTGTTTTAGCTTTTGGTATCCAGATCCTTTGTGTACAAGTCAGTTTTATTGAACTTTAAATTCTCTTTTCATACCTTATTTATGTAACCTCTCTTTCTCTCTGTCTTTGTATATGTGTGTGTCTATCTAAACAAAACATTTCTAATAAACATGTACACCCCTTATATGTATGTACGTGCACACACATTGGGTACATACACTCAGACGTCGTATGAATGCTTAAAGAAAAAACAGGTGCTTAGGTGCTGCCCTGAATAGGGATGCTTTTCTGACCCCTCTAGATGGGCTGTAGATATCACAAGAGCTTCTCTCACGGATTGTTTTTTAGCATATACTTTACTGGATCAAAATCTGTGTTTTACTGTAATGCACCGAGAGTCTGAGACAGGTGAAAAACATCTAAATAAATATGTCAGCACTGAATTGGACCCAAACATATAAGATACAATCAAAATATTAGGAAGGTACTAATATACATGGATCTCTCTTTTACACACACACACACACACACACACACACACACACACACACACACACACACACACACACACACACACACACACACACACCTACCTACCTACTACGA